GCGGCGCGATGGTTGGCGTGGGAGGCGGATCACTCCAGGTGACTCACGGGAAGTCGCACGGCGCCTCGCGTGGGTCCGTCCCAGGGCAGACAGGTGGGTTTGGATGTTGGGGTGCGGGTGACCACCACGGGTGCCCCGGGCACAGCTAGGATGCCCTCCACCTGCCCGCCACGCCGCATGGGGGACGGTGACCTGTGCTGACCACGGGAGCGGCTCCACGCAGGCCTCCCAGGCCTGTCCTTCGTCCCCTTTGTAGCGAAACCAGAGCCCTGGGCGGAGCTCCCGTGGGTTCCACGGGTCTTTCTAGAAATTATTGAAAACGAGGGGTGTGGGCACCCTCCACTTCACAGCCAGGGTGTCAGAAGCACAAGGGGCTGGAGGCGTGTGGGCCTGGGCCTGCCACCAGCTCCGCTGTCGCTGCCAGAGGGGAGGGCAGCCCCACGTGAGGTGGCGCGGGCAAGCACCGGCCCTCTGAGCCGACGAAGGTGTCACCGGGCCCACGAGCGGGGGACGGTCAGGCCCGCCCTGGCCTCTGGCGATCTGTGCCAACGCCAGTGAGTGGGCACCACACCCTGGCCCCCTCTGCCCGCTGAGCTCCTCCGCGGCCGGGCTGGCGGATTTCGGGGCACAGGGAGCAGCCACTCCTCACAAGTCCCCCCAACACATCCCGGGGACCTGCCGATCCCCCGGAGCCACGGCCCACGGTCTGCGCCCTGACGCAGCCGAACGCCCTGCGGTCCCAACGCAAAGAGAATGGCCCGTGAACCGTATCCATCACAAACAGCGACTCAGCACAGCGTGGCGGCCGCCGCCTTACCTGGCGGGGCAGGTGCGCTCTGTTCTCCGGGCCCTGGGAGGCCCCACGGGTCCCTCCGGAACTGCCCGGGGGTGGACAGTGGCGGTGGCGGTGGCAGTGGCGGGTGGATAGGGACAGGTGTCGGCAGGAAGAGGCTCAGGAGCTCAGAGAAGGCCGCTGCCTCCCACCTGAAGGAGAAGAGAAAGAAAACGCTGAGCTGAGCGCCTTGGGAGCAGAGGTCTGTTTGAAAG